GTTTAATTAATTTATTGTATTTATAGGCTAAACTTAAACATTCAAACATATCTCTTATCTAATTTTCGAATTACTTTATAGATTACTAAATTACTTTAACAGTTAATAGAATGAAAGTTATACTTTTGAATTTTTTGTGTATTCACCTTTGCCAAGTCATATCTGTAGCTATCAAACCATTTTTGTATATACATATCTAAAAAATGTTATGCTACTATATAAAACATATTATATAATATTTCAGTCTGCTATTAGGATATTAAAAAACTTGAGTAAACTTGAGTTAACTTGGTGTAATACAAAAATTGACTTAGTTGACTTCTAAATGATTTAAAAAATCATATAACTGATTTTCTAGATTTTATAGATTTTATTATGATAATATAAAATAAACTATATATGCTATTCAGAATTAACACCTATATATATTTTTTATTCAATAATTTCCTCCTTAAACCAACTTTTTAGATCTAAAAAAGCACTAACTGTATTCTTAAAAAGATTAGTTCTGGCAGAATTTATAGTATTCTTGGCAATAGAAAAAGTATGCTTATAAGAAATATTTGTAACCTGTAAGGTAAAGTAGTTTGCAGCAATGTGGACTATATTTGAAAATAGTGAGTATTAGTTTTCTACTATAGTAGTAGATTTATACCTGATTCACAGGATAAAGCTAAGTATATCACTAACTCATCCTCTGTATTTGTTGTAGTTTCTCTACGTATATCTCCTTGCATTTGCATTAGTTTTCTAAAGGTTTCTAACGGATCTTTAATTTTGATAATCGATTTTGATTTATTATTTTTATATAATGAATAAAAAGCTTTTAATTGATTAATAGCTAATATATGGTCAGTTTCATAAAATGCTTCAAACTTAGTTGATGGATCAAGAATACCAGAAATAGCAAAAGATTTCTTAAGATAAGCCCAATATTCATTTAGTTTGTTTTTTATTTCTTTAATTGTTTCACTATATACTAAAAATATAATTATTAAGATGATTTAAAAGTCCCTAAATAATTAAACATAAAGATCCATGTGAAAGTTGAGAAGCATCTGAAAGAATCAAAGTTGCTGTATAAAAGAGTTTGAGAAGTTTCATCATTTCTTTAATAATTTTTCAATTGTTGGTTTCTAAATAATTATCTTTTAAATTTGGATGAGATTGTACAAGGCAATTAGTAATATTACGAATATTAAGAAGTCTTTCAAGCATCAAGTAGATAGAATTTCACCTTGTCTTAATATCAATTACTAGATAGAGAAATTAACAGTTTAAAATAGCAAATATCCTTTTTATTTCCTCTAAATATATAGGCAATTTTATTTTATTACAAAAATATTAGGCCTTCTAAATTTGGCTAAGATATTTTTTTAACCTGCTTTAACTACAAGATTAAAAACATGAGCTGCATAATGTACATGCTCAAGTTCTGAATTTATAGACTTTTGAAGAAAATATAGACATGTCAAATTATTTGTTGCATTATTATTAGTGAAGCTAATTATCTGCTCTTTAATTTCCAGAGCCTTAATAACTTCAAGAATTTTTTTTCAAGGTATTTTTCTATATAGACATCATATAGAGGAATGAAATCAAGAAGAAAAACTTTTACCATCCATTTAGCATCGATCTAATGGATTGTAATTCTGAGAAAAGAATGCTGATTGCATACTGTCTTAACATTCAAAGTAAGTACTAATTTATTTAGGCTGACATTTAGAGCCTTCTTAATTTTTATTTTTGCTAAATCAAATTGTTTTTTTATATTTGTAAATAATGTTTGATAGCAAAGAAGCTTGTAATGTGAATCAAAATTGGAGCAAAATTTTTTAAATGGTTCTTTTTTAACTACTGAAAATAGTTGATGGCTAATAATAATCTAACACAACAAGTTATGGTTTAAAGAATCAATATAAAGTTGTTTGCCAGTTAAATAAAAAGAAGACTTTGAGGTTTTTGAAAAATCATTATAGATTAGTGGATGTTTTATTTTAAAATGACTTATTACTGTTGAAATTGATATGCCTTTTCATTTATTGTTATATATCTTACAGAGCTTAAATGTTTTAAAATCATTACTAAGCTTATCAAGATATGCATGAACTGACACAAGTTTTTTTTTTGATCACAGGTTATTAGGTTGGATAAGCTTTTCAGTTTTTTGTAAATTATATTGGCATTTTTCAGAAGAAACAGTAATTATATAAATTATTGTAGACTAATAAATAATTAAAAACTTAGAATATATTATTGAAAATTTAATATAAAATTTATAATTTAGAAGGAAATGTATGTGGTCTTATATAATTTTTAAAATTCTTTATTATTTTAATCTTGTAAAATTTATTAACAATTGGTTGTTTATATTTAGATAAAAATCTTATACAAGCTTGCTTAAAATTAGCTAAGTATACTTAAAAAAACACTTGTTATTCTAATATAAAAGCATGCTAATATGCTAATAATATTAATTTCAGAAACTAATTACATTGTGGAAATAGTTTTTTTTTAAATTTAAAGATCTATTAAGGCAGAAATTAGCCAGAGGAGCTCCTCAAAAGTGAAGTATACTAGCTGTACAGAAAACAAAGTGTCAAATTATATAATTTTTGGTGTTCTGAATAATCATCTTCAAATCAAAATTCAGGATCTGGTGTAATATAAAATTTTACAAAAACAATAAAGTTTTTTCAAAAATTGCAGATAACTTAAAATTTTAATCTTCTGCATTCTAATTAAAAAAATTTTTTGCAAAATTTTACTATAAAGTAAATCTTTCCTAACCCTAAATATATGTTTGTTTTTTTTATTTATTTATATATTATCTTTGATTATTTTGATTTTTAAATATCAGATCAAATGCTTCAGAAGTTACATAACCTGATACCTCATTTTTTATATGGCTAGGATTCTATTAAAAGTGCTAGTGACATAATCATAATACAGCTATATGTATATATGTATTGCAATATTAAATTAGAATTGGTCAAAGTGGTCTCCCCAATATGCAGTTATACAAACCTATATAATATAAAGTTACAATTGAACAAGTTATTAACATTGATATCAATAACTTGTCGATTATAGTTTTATATTATATAGGTTTGTGTAATTGTACTTGAGGAGACTGCCTTACAATATATAGCTAGAAGAGAACCAATAAGTTGTACTAATTGATCTTACATCACTAGCACTTTGAGAGCTACTTTGGTTAATTTTTAAGAAAATAGGGGTCTTGAAGCAGGACATAAAATACTAACTCATTTACTAGCTATGCAGCCTATTGATTAAAGCGTTTTTTTTGATGCATTAGAATAAATAAAATAATTTGAATCAAGAACAAGATTTTTGAATAGCTGGTAAATAAGTTGGTATTTTACACTCTGCCTTGAAGGTAATGCCATATAGTATTATATTTGTATTGTCATTAGAATTCTTATAACAATACTAATTTAATGTAAGTTGTAGATGCTGTCTAATACATATTTGATAAAATTTTTAAAGCATCTCTTCCAAAAATATGACCAGGATGATCATTGATTTTACAGATTATATAAATAATGCTCAGGGCTTTAAACTCTATATTAATATGCCTGCCATTTACTGTGCTAGAGATAATTGTTTGAAGTATCATTTTTAATTCATCAAAATTAATAGTATTATAATACAGATCAAGAATGACAATTATTGAATGGCTGGCAAATTACTATAGTGTCTAAAGCCCTAGTAGTGCTACTAATATTCAATATGAGCAATATGCAGGGTCAAAATTTTTATAATGATAGCACTATAGATCTAATGCTGATTTATTTGCAACAATTGTTGCAAGTGGTATTACTTATATAACCATAAAGTCAATGGCTGTCCTAGTCATGTCTCTTTCAAACTTATATCTAAAATTGACTTTTTAATAATTATGTATTCTGGTAGGTAAGGTAGAGTAGGATATTCTGACACATCTAAGCTGCATTGTTAATTAAATTTTTACAAATCAATATTTATTTTTAAAATTCATTTAAATCAACTAATTATATACTTGGCTATTCAAAAAAAAAAGAATATTATTAATAAAAAAACTAGTTTTTTGCAACTTTTTTGAAAGCTATTTTTTGAACATTATTTTATTATGTGGAGGGTTTATAGCATATCTACAAATGTTAAGATCTTTATACTGCATAAATTACATAGTTGATACTTTTTATCTGAATATATCAAAGATGAAACTTTATTAGCTTAAACCAAGATTATTTGTTATACCAATATTAACATTATTATTAATTTTTCTCTTTTTACTCTAATGTTTTTGTTCTATTTCAATTTTTTTTGTACTTTTTTAGTTTCTCATTCAATTCATTTTTGTGCAGCTTTTTCCTTTCTTTCTTTGCACTTTCTGCTTTATTTTAAGATAACTTGTTTATTTTTTTTAATTTTTGTAGAGATTCTTCATTGATAAGAAGCTTAGTAAACCGAAAATGTTTTCTTCATTTTGGCAAGTTGGATTCTGGCTTGACTTGAGTTAGAACATGCGAAGTAGGATATTTAAGAGCCAGTTTTAAGGAACAAGTACCATGATTTTTTAAGGTCTCTATTTCCTCTTGTAATTTTTAATAAGTTCTTTTAATTGATTTGTTTTCTATTTTTAGAGAATCATTTTCTGCTTTCAAAAGCTCATTCTCTTTAATAATATATATATATTTTTTTTATAGTCAAGGTTAGCCTCTTCGGCTTATCACTTTTATTAGATATTAGAATCATGTGGTGCCCTTTTCAAGGGGTCCCAGACAAGTACATTCTGATGAGGATACATTCTAGCCATATTTGCACCTTTTGGGTGCCTAATTAAATGATTCTATCTATGTGCTAGGTGCTACACTAGATGCCGTACCTGTAATTCACTATTACTTGAATTACCTGATTAAACCCTTTGATCTGAGTTTCCTTCTCTTTAATAATATTAATTATATATGAAGAATAATTATATAGGTAAAAAGATGATGCAGAAGGATTATCTGGTAGAGAAAGCGATATATAAGATGATATAAAGAAATTATTTAATAAAGATGATGATAAAAAAAAAGATGATACAAATATAAAAGAAGATAATACAAGAGAATTATTTGGTAAAGAAAATAATGTAGAAGAAGATGATATAGTAGAATTATTTGGTAAAGAAGGTGATATGAATAAAGAAGATGATGATTCAAAAGAATTTTGTAGAGTAGACAATGCAAGAGAATTAAGATTTGGTTGAGAAGACAGTATAGTAAATTGAGAAGATGATGTAATATTTAGTAAAGGTAAATCGATTCACTCAGTTGAAAGAGATGAATCAAAACAATCTGGGCTTATGGCATTAGAATTAAGAGGCCAAATTCCTGTAACTCGATAAGTGTTAATAATTGCTAAAAGAGTGTAAATCTTAATAAAAGCTGAGCCAAGCATTTTTGCAAATGTATGCTTAGTTATCAGCTCACCAGTGTCATTATTTGTCACATTCTTTGGAATATTCAGATTTGAGTTTGGCAAAAGGAATTTCAGATGGTTGGAGGATATGGGTAGTATAAGGTGAGAGTACATATAGCAGAATGCCATTTTCATGACAAAAGTTAATACTTATATAATTTACATGGCTTATATGTCTATCTAATATTAAAAGAATGGGCTGACTAGAGGAATAGAGTTAATGAAATGTTTAATATATATCTGAAAAAGGTTTTTGCGCATATATCTTGAGTCAGTAAATTTTATAACAGTGCTAACCGGAGCCCCATCTAATAAATTTGGAATTGCACAAATACCTCTATAAAAAAATAATAGAGGAATATAACTACCAGTGGCCGAAATTGTCAGAGCAACAGAGATATGTTCATAAGAATTACTATATGCTATTTTATAAACCTGATGTGAACCTTTTGTAGGGAGTACTTTTTAGACTTTAAGAGCTATAACAAACCCTGTTTCATCCATATTTCAGATATAGTTCACAGTAAATGAATTTTCTTGGATGATTTTTTGAAGTTTTTAAAAATGATCCTTAATAATAACTGGATTTGTCTTTGTGCATGGGTTTCTGAGATGGCCTGAGACACACAAAAAGATAGATCAGAATAGTCCTTCAAAAAGCATGACTACCAGGTCTTGCCAGATTCACTATCATTAAAAGAATGATTACAATTGTTACTATTCATAATATTCATTACACAATAATTTATTCCAGATCATATAAGTCCAAATCTTAGTCTCTGTATATTTTTACAATAACCAACTAATTGTAGTTCTTTATGAATTCTTAAAACTGTTAGAGAATCAGGTTAGTTGGGCAAGCTATTATTCTTTGTGTGTCATAAGGTTGTTTCAGCAATGTTAAATTTTAATGCAATTAATTGTATACTAGGTTTATCAGGGCCATTAAGTGCTTTAAGAGCCAATTCAATAGTATTTGTATATTATTTGGTTTTATTGTGTTTTTTTTTTGATTTAGTTATAGTTTTGGGCTTAGATAAAATTTCAAAGTCATTTTTGCTTTTTTTTAAATTTTTTTTTAAAATTTTTTTTTACTTTAATTTAGCTACAATTTATAATTTTTGTGTGGCTTTTGTATATAATCACGATTGATTATCTTAAGGTATATTATTTTATTGTTTTAATCATAATCGTGATTGTTTTTTATATTGCAGCTTTTGTATATAACTACAATCATAATTATGATTAATTCTTATATACAACCACAATCGTAATTATGATTAATTCACTTAAAAAATATAAGCTTATTGTTTTAATCATGATTATGATCGTGATTATTTATTGTATTGGCTTTTGTATTCAATCATGATCATAATCATGATTAATTCTTTTAAGACGATTGTTTTTGTATTAGCTTTTGTATGTACAATTTTTTTTTATTAGACAATTAAAGTTTTATCAAATAAAACTAATTTTCAGAATCTAACTAAATCTGTATAGACAATATTAATTTGTCAAATTTGTAAATCACATGGTGGGTAAAAATCAAATAGTGAGTAGAAATCAAATGACAGGTAGAATATTTCTCAAAAAACTTATAAACGAGTAAATTTTGTTTATTGATTATAAAAAATAATTAAAAGCTTTATATATTAAAAAATGAAATATCCTCTTAATCTACAATTTGAAGAAATAAACCTAATCTTAATTCTTTGCGATAATTTAATGAACCATGCCTATGATGCCGCAAAATTCAAAGATCAGATGAAGTATGTTCTTCTGATTCTTTATAAACAACTTATTGGTATTATAATCTATTTTTTAAAATTAATAGTTACAGATGAAATGATTAAGTCGATAGAAAATTATTACAGAAATGATTGAGAATTAGAAAAAATAAAACAGTTTGTAATTTTTTTTGAGGATATCATATATAACTACAAATTTCTTGCAAAAATGGATTATATTTTGTTAATATTCAAAAGATTATACAAGGCTGAGGGTGATGATGATATGTTTGATCAGGAATATAAATATTGTGCTACTCTTAAAGGTTTGGAAATGTGCAAATTTGTAGATTTGTTTTGCATGAGAGAAAAATATAGGTCTAGTTTTCAAGATTTTTATGATGATTATTATGATTTCTATAGTAAAAAGGAGGAGTTGAGCTTGTATAAAGAAAATTTTCATCTTCTTGATATAAATATATTATTAAGAAATTAAAATTATATATTATGTATAATGATTAAATTGCTTAATTAAGCCAGATTGTCAAGGGGTGTTGAATATATATTTATTAATTTTTATCATTTTTTTTATCACTTTTGTATCTTGTGACCAAGAGTTCCAATTAAAGCAATTTGTATACCATTCGATTCACCTTGATAAGACAAATTGAATGATACTAAAATTATTCTATTCTGATTACTGTATCTTGAGATATTTTAAGAAAACTCCAGTGTGCCACATTACCTCCCATGCTAGAATACTCTACTCTACCTTATGTAATAACAATTTCTTTTAAAGTAAAAAAATCTTCAATGCAACAAGGGTCTGCTATAGTAGAAAATATTATGTATATCGTATTCAATAATTATGGTTGAATTATGGTTCATTTATTTATCACAATAATACAAAGTAATGAGTTATTAAAAATTTAATATTCTTATATTCTACTGAATCCAATTAAATAAAAGTTAAATATGAACTATTGAATAAAGTATATATTAATTGGGGTAGATTGAAGAACAGTTAACCCAGTGATATTTTCGTGATCATCACATCACATGATTAAATATTCAGCCTAAATTAGGGTTAGTGTTGGGGTCAGGTGATAATATAGTTAGGCCGATTTGATAGTGTTAGTAAACAAATGACGTCATTGCATTATTTCAGACCGGGTAAAATCGCCACCCAAAAAAGTTTCAAAAATCATGTGATATTGTCCATTCATCATGATTAGGATCATAATTGATTAAGTGAATTTTTTTTATCGATTCCTCAAAATGAAAAGTGATTGTTGCAATCTTGACAAACCAAGTGATTCTTTTAAAAGCATGAAATTCAATAAACACAATATTCTAAAAATATATATTGATTGCCGTAACCAAATTTCCACTAATAATAAACGAAAAAAAAGAATGAAAATCGAAATAAAATTATAAAAACTAATTAAGAAAATGCAATTGCAGAAAACCTTGTAGATTTTATTTTCAATGATCTTCTGGAAGACTATAACTGATTATTTATTTAAGCAAAAAATTTTTATAATTTTGAATCTAGAATGCAGCAAAAAAAAAAATTATTGAAAAAAACATAATGAATCAAATATTAACAAAGCATTACTAAAAACTTTGAGCTATTGCATAAATTGAAGGATTATACTCATTTTAAAAGACAATGGAATATTCTAAATACTTAGAAAACCCGTAATCATAATACTTTCTGGTTGTAATAAATATTATGGTTATCGAAATAATTAAAATGATTAAATTTTGCTTATCGTTATTATTTTGTCAGTCTATTTGTTTGTTTTAGTTAGAGTTACATGAATTGTTGGTGCTCAATATTTGTCACGTGATGTTTGAAACTTATTGGGTGGCGATTATTTTAGGTAGCTGTCCCACAAAATTTTTTCCACCCTTGTAATAACGACCAATCGAATTTCAGGATCAGGTGTAACGTGATAGTCAAAACAAACGTGTTTTGTTTTCTAA